AGATAGAACACTCCGGCTTTACAGTCTCCAGATCAGACCGGATGAGGCAACGATGGGTGAGTGATGGAGCTTCAGAGTCTGTTGTCTTCACTTTCCAAACTCTCATGACTGAAAGAACTGCCCAAGTTTGTGCTTGGCTCCACCGTGTGGGCAGGCTCAGAGGGACTGCCCATCTCCGTAGTGGGAGCTCATTTCTGCAGCGTGATTTTGGGGAAGTTATGTCATGCAGTTATTATGAAATAAGGCGGTTATTTCATGCAGGAGGGTCTAAGGCTTCATCAAGGGGCTGGAGCCTCTAGAGACAGGCTGCCCGTCTCCACAGGCGGGGCCCTGTCTCAGCCCTCTCACGGCAGGAGCTCAGGAAGGCCCTATCTGTGAGATGCAGCAGGAACTTCTTTTTCATTGGAGACCCATAAACCAAACACAGGCCACAAACTGAGTGTCATACAATATTCCTCATCAGCCACGTCTAGGTAACTTACTGCTGACTCAGGACAGGAAGCTTCTGGACAGTTCTCTCAGGGAGGAGGAGAAAACAGAGGAAGGGGGCGGGAGGCATACAGAAATCTGGTGTCATATAATGTTGTCTGAGAAAATTTGTCCTGGGGGATGCGACACACGCCAGTTAGGAATCTCATGACAGACCAAAGTACAAACCACAACAAAGGCCAACTAGGTGAACCAAAGCGTTTTGTGGAATTACTTACAGGGGTGTGGGTGGGGGGTCACTTACAGGAGTGTGGGGGAGGGGTCACTTACAGGAGTGTGGGTGAGGGGTTCCTTACGGGAGTGTGGGTAGGGGGTCACTTACAGGAGTGTGGGTGGGGGGTCACTTACAAGAAATGACTCAAAGACAGCTGCATCACCAAGGCCCACCCTAGCATGGGGGACAGCTCACAAAAGCGGAGAACCTGGACACACTGCACAGCCTGCAGGCAGCTCAGCAGACCATGTCCTTTCCAAGTGACTCGGTCTAAACCTCTTCTAAGTGTTGTAGAGTTTGAGACCATCGGGGAAAGACAATCAAACAAAATCTAAATTTACAATATAAACAATTTTATTTTATTGATAGCAGCGTTGGGATAAGCAGCCTCCTTCGCCAGTCAGAGCTGCAGCTGAAGGGGAAGACGGGCTGGAGTTTTTAGAGGCACAAACCACGATTGTCTCAACTCTGGGGATTTTCTGCTGCGTGAGGCATTATCATGTTTTTGTTTGTTTTGTGAGCAAGCAGCTGTTAAGTGAGATTACAGAAGCGGAATGAGTGTCTGGTTAATATTTCAGGATAGCAGCTACACAATAAAGGGACATTAGACAGGTGGCCCTGAGATCAGTCTCCGCTTTAGACTGTTGTTAAGCCTCAACTGCTGATGGGGGTTGACCTCGGGGTCGTGGTCTAGACATCCTGCAGTTAACAACACTTAGGCTAAGAATAAGGTCCTGCTGATTCCCAGGTTTTCTTTTTTACACAGGAACTCAGTTTGAAACGGAGCTGGTTTTTAATCATTACCCAGGCACTTCTGCTGGTTTCTGCTTCTTCCAGGACCTAGTCTGGTCTCAGAGTCTTCTTGGCAGCTTGGCTTGTGTGAGGACTCTCAGCTTTTATTGCTTACTCTGGTCAGTTTCATGCACTTCCTGAAGCGATTTGAGTTATTGAGCTATTTTGACCTGTCTACCTTCCTGTCTAAAGAGTTTCCCAGCAGGATGGAGTGTGTCAATCTCGGAGGAAACTGTTACATAACATACGGTTCTTGGACAGCCCAGCACTCGAACCCAGGGCACTGGGACATCTGCGGAGGAAGGGTCCCTGAGCCTGGGAGTGGTTCTGCACTTCTGACCTCCCTGGCTCTGCTTTCACTCTCTGAACTCTGGGCCCCCCATTCAAGAAGTCTCCACTTTTTGATAGCAAGAGAGACCTAGTCTCACTTCTCTGAGCTGCTCTGATTGCCCTTGAAGCTCCGCGGCTGTTCTGTGCATCACAGTAAGGCGCTTCCATGCATCTCTTCGGCAGCTTCCTCTATCGCCCACACCCTGGCCACTCTGTGCTGTGAATGTGGTGTGGGGTGACTAAGCTCCCAGAAGCCCCCTTATTAAGGTGAGGGAGCGTCCAGCACCCCCTGAAAGGAATCTCAGATTTCAACCCACAACTGCTAGGTGACTCTGAGCTCCAGTAGCTTGTGTCCTTTGCTCATTCTGTAGAGTTTACCAGAAATATTCTGTGAAGTCATTCATAATATCACCCTTTCCTGCCTCTAGGTAGAACCTGTAGTAATACCAAGGTCATTCCTCTCCCGTGGGCAACATGTTCTCTATTCTTTGCTATTGTCCTCCTTCTCGTCCTCCCCTCTCGCTCCCTTTCTCTCTTTCTCTCTCCCTTCCTTCCACACTTCCACACTTCCTCTCCCTATTTCTCTCCTTGGTCCCTCTCCCAGTCTTTCTCATCAAAGGACACATTTTGTGTGCAACATCTCTGCCTGGGAGAGCTCCCGGAAACTACATTCTCTTGAGAAGTTCCAAGATAGCTGGAGAGTACCACCAACACCAAGAACTGAAGGACGGTGGGACACGTCTTGGCTGTCAAAGCTCAGACAGGTGATGAAATTCAGAGGGCCTCGCAGCGGCCCGGATGTTTGTGTCCACCTACCCTACATGTGTTGAGAACTACCTCAAGGGGATGGGGTTAGGAGGGCGGCCTTTCAGAGGGGCAGGCCTCCCAGGCAGAACTGGTGGTTTTAAACCCGCAGAGGGGACCAGGGTTCTTCCCTTCCGCCATGTAAGCATACAGTGGTTCACAGCCATCTGAGAACCAGGAAGTGGGCCCCCAGCAAAAGTCAAACCTGCTCAGGCACCCTCTCGACCATTGCCAGTAGTCTATGGTGGAGTCATCTTTGTGGATTCCTGGGGACCTCCCTACCACTCTGCTTCTCCCTATTCCCATGGTGCCTCATTTATCATGATATCTCTTTCCTTGTTCTCCCACTCTGTTCCCATTCCAGCTTGAACCTCCAGCTCCCCTAAGCTCTCATTCCCCCGTCCCTTGCCCTCTATTACTCCACCCCCAGTTTTCTCATGTGAAATCTCATCCATTTCTCCATCACTGGGCGATCCATGTGTCCTTCCTAGGGTCCTCCCTATAGCTAGCCTCCCTGGAGCTGTGGGTTGTAATCTGGTTATCCTTTGCTTTACATCTATTATCCACTTATGAGTGAGTACATACCATGTTTGTCCTTCTGAGTCTGGGTTACCTCACTCAGGATATTTTCTAGTTCCATCCATTGCCTGCAAACCTCATGATGTCATTGTTTTTCTCTGCTGAGTAGTACTCCATTGTGTAGATGTACCACATTTTCTTTATCCATTTTTCAGCTGAGGGGCATCTGGGTTGTTTCCAGGTTCTGGCTATTACAAATAATGTTGCTACTCTGGTGATTGGATGGCTGAATACCCTAACTGTCATCATAGAACTCTCATCCAGTGACTGATGGAAGCACATGAAGAGATCCACGGCCGGGTCCCAGGCAGAGCTCCAGGAGTCCAATCAATGAGAGAGAGGAGGGATTCTATGAGCAAGAGATATTGAGACCATGATTGGAAAAAGCACAGGGACAAATAGCCAAACTAGCAGAAACACATGAACTGTGTACCAATAGCTGAGGAGCCTCCATGGAACTGGACTAGGCCCTCTGGATAAGTGAGACAGTTGTTTAGCTTGAACTGTTTAGGGGGGGGGGCCCAGGCAGTGAGATCGGGACCTGTCCCTAGTGCATGAGCCAGCTTTTTGGAGCCCAGTGCCCATGGTGGGACACCTTGTGCAGTCTTGGTGCAGGAAGGAGGGGCTTGGACCTGCCTCAACTGAATGTGCCAGGCTCTGCTGACTCCCCATGGGAGACCTTGCCTTGGAGGAGATGGGAATGTGGGGTGGGTTGGGGGGGGAAGGCTAGGGGGTGGGGGGAGGGAGGACAGGGGAATCTGTGTTTGATATGTAAAATGAATAGAAAAACTCTTTAAAAAAAAAAAAAAAGAGCCAAACCTGCCAGCACCTTGACCTTGGCTCCCAGGTTCTGAAACTGTGAAATCAATGTCTGTTTATAGCCTCATGGCCTGTTATTTTGTTCTCATGGCCAAGTCCACCTCTGAGGAAACTCTCAAAGAGGGCCTGGCTGACTGCCCTTAGCCAGAGGTCACAGGGTACAAGACCAGGAACGAAGCAGACTGGAACTAATTACTAATGGGCAATGTGGAAAAAGTTCACAAAAGGCTCAATGGCACCTACTGTAGTTCTTCAACGTGGTCAAAACCTAAGCCAGAGACTTCCAGATGGATGGAGGCTGAGAAGGTGACTTCATGGGCCCTGGTGGAGGAGAAGAGTTGGGATAAGAAAAATAAACAAATAATAAAAACAAAAACAAACAAACAAAAAACCAAACAAATTTATATATATATATATACACACACACACATATGTATTATGTGTGCATATAGAGAGAGAGCGGGGGAGAGAGATACTATTACAAAGACATTCATAAAAGTAGAGACAGGACAGCTGGGAATTATGTAGAAACAGGAAGATAAACACATCAAAAGGAAGAAAGCCAAACACAGCTCCAGGGTGAGAGTTTGGGAGGCAGCTATGGAGAGTGGGCGGCTGGTACTGAGAAGTCAAAAGGTCCAACAGGCAGGAAGCTGGGCCCAGGCAGTGAAGCGCATGGAACGGGGACCCTGGCTGCCTGGAGCTGACCCGATCAACTGAGAGTACTCTGGAGTTTGACAACATGGAGCCTGGGGCCAGCAGGTGTATCAGCACCTAGCCTTGAGTGTCCCTCTGTGGACTCTGAGACCCCTGACGTCCAGTGGCCATAGTCTGCCTCCCAGCCGCAGCCTCCAGTTTAGTGGGCTTTGAAAGTAGGAGGACAGGTCCACCCACACAGATGTCAGCACCGTGGTCACTCGCCCCACTCCCAGCACACCTGGAGACACTCCCCACCCCTCGGCTAGACCTTTAGCTACTCCTGGGTGAAGGAATTGAGGAAGTTCAGGCTGGTAAGAAGGTGAGAGGGCCTGCCCAGCACACGGGCTGCAAAGCCCAGTGTGGCCAGCAGAGGCCCTCGGTAGGCTGAAGTGAAGATGGCCTGGTGTTTATTTGTCCCAGGCAGGGTCAGCACCAGCCTGAATGGTGGGAGACAAGAGTCCACAGGCTCAGCTGACCCCACACACCCCACACACCTGCCATGTATGGATTCCAAATATTCTCATGTTTTTTTTTATTTTTTTTTTATTTTTCGAGACAGGGTTTCTCTGTGTAGTTTTGGTGCCTGTCCTGGAACTCACTCTGTAGCCCAGGCTGGCCTCGAACTCACATAGATCTACCTGCCTCTGCCTCCTGTGTGCTGGGATTAAAGGCATGCGCCACCACTGCCCAGCCCATATTCTTATTCTTTTAATCCACTTCATATATCCGATTTTCCTTTTTCAGTTTTCATGATTAGCCTTTTCTTCTTTTGTTTCCCCACCAGAGCACCTTATTCTCCATCCCTCCTTTCCCTTGTATAGTTAGAACAGTCTTTTGACTGCACTGTGTCGGTTTTAATTTTTTTTGTTTTTTGTTTGTTTGTTTTCGAGACAGGGTTTCTCTGTGTAGTTTTGGTGGCTGTCTTGGATCTCGCTCTGTAGACCAGGCTGGCCTCGAACTCACAGAGATCCACCTGGCTCTGCCTCCCGAGTGCTGAGAGTAAAGGTGTGTGCCACCACCGCCCGACAGTTTTATTTGTTAAACTGAGTTGTGTGAGGCTGTTTGCACACTCCACACCGTCTGCCTGGAGACGTTCTCCCCATTCCCTGCTGTTATTCACTGGTCTGTGCCTTTGGCTCTTTTGTTTCTACTTTCTTGTCATCTGTACTGAGACGGTTTCATGTATCTGTAAAATCTAGGGCCCAGAAACGAAATGTGCTGTTTGTCCTTGGTGTCCTGATGTCCGAACTTTGTTCTCTACAGCTGATAAAAATTCCAGTGTTTACATAAACCATGCTTCCCCCGTTCACTGTCCTGTTGATGGACACCTTGGTGGCCAGCCTTAGCTGTTGCGACATTCCCTGCAGCAAACTTGTTAAACTTTGTTTGAATCACCCTGTGATTTTTTTTGGGGGGGGAAGGGTAACTATTCAAGAGCAGATTACCAGGGCCATATGGGAGTGTTTTTGTTGGTTGTTCTTGCTGTTTGAGGAGCCCCCAGCGGCTGCACTAATGCACATAGCCACTGGAGGAGTCTAAGGACTCCCTTTGAGCACGTACGCCCCAGCTGTTCACCGTTTCCTTGGTGACTGCCATGCTGGCAGGGGTGAGATGGACGCTAATGTCATTTTCGTTTGCTGTTTGTTTGCATTTTTCTGACGACTGGTGATGCTGAACATTTTCCGTGTGTTTACAGGTCATTTGAACCCCATCTTTTGAGAACTTCTGCTCGTTTCATTAGTTTCATTGTTAACTGATTTGTTTGATTCCTTGTTATTTAGTATTTTGAGTTTTGTTTTGTTTTTTTGCCCAGATGTGGTTCTCAGCCTGTGGGTTGCAAGCCCCCTTGGAGTCATGTATTAGCTATGATTTACATTATTTACATTATGATTCATAACAGTAGCAAAATTACAGTTATGAAGTAGCAACAAAATAATTGTGTGGTTGAGGGGTCACCACAACATGAGGAACTGTATTAAAGGATCACAGCATTAGGAAGACTGAGAACTGGTCTAGATATTAATCCTCTTTTCAATGTATAGCTAGCAAAGAATCTCTCCTGCTGTACAGGCTGTCTCAGTCAGTTGGGTTTCCTTTGCTGTAAGAAACTTTTAGTAGCCCACAGTCCCATTTGTCAAGTTTTTGGCCCTGTTTCTTGGGAGATAAGAGTCCTGTTCAGAAAGCGTTTCATATGCAGCTATATTGAAATGCTTTTCCTACTTTCCCTGAGATTCCTGGTTTAGAATTTCAGGTCTTACATTAAGGTCTTTGTTTATTTAGTGCTGCCTTTTCTGTTTGTTTGTTTGTTTTGTTTTTGGTTTTTCGAGACAGGGTTCCTCTGTGTAGTTTTGGTGTCTGTCCTGGATCTCACTCTGTAGACCAGGCTGGCCTCGAACTCACAGAGATCCGCCTGGCTCTGCCTCCCAAGTGCTGGGATTAAAGGTGTGCACCACCACTGCCCAACTTAGTGTTGACTTTTGCAGGGAGTGAGACATAGGGATTGAACCTTATTCTTCTACACATGAATATCCAGTTTCTCCGGGACCATTCATTGAAGAGGCTGTCTTCTCCAATGTGTATATTTTTAAGCTTTGTCAAAACTCAGGTGGCTGTAACTGCATAGATTTATACCTGGTTATTCGCTTCTGTTTAATTAATGTATGTATTAATACATAGATATAAAAACCATTCTGTTTTTACTGCTATGACAATAAACCTGAAATCAGATATGATGATACTGCAAGCATTGTTTTTTCCCAAAATTATTTTGGCTATCTGGGGTCTTTTGGGGTTCCATATCAATTCTATTTTTTTCTATTCCTACAAAGAATGTAATTGGAACTTTATGGGGATTGGATTGAATTTGTACATTGCTTTTGGCGGTATAGTCATTTTAACAATATTAATTTTTCAGTCATCATAGAGCGGTGCTTCTATCTTCTAGTATTTGTTTGAGTCAAGGTTCCTCTATGCAAATTAGGCTGGCCTCAGACTCATTAGAAATCTATCAGCGTCTACATTCTGAGTGCTGGGACTAAAGGCATGGAACACCATTACCCACCTTTAATATGTTTAAATTCTTCTTTAATGTTTAAAATTTTAAAATTTCAGGTCTTTCACTTTCTTGCTTACGTTTATTCCAAGCTATTTTTTTTTAGATTTAAAATTTTATGTTGATGAGTGTTTTGTTTGCATGTATGTATGTGCACCATCTGTCTGTCTGGTTCCCCTGAGGTCAGAAAAAGGCATCAGGTCCCCTGGAACTGGAGTTAAAGATGCTGGTTAGCCAGTATGTGGGTGCTGTGAACTGAACCCAGGTCCTCTGCAAGAGCAACGAGTGCTTTTAACTGCTAAGCCATCTATTCAGCATCCCACAAGGTAATATTAGAGGAAATTGTAAATGGGATGATTTTGAAATATATTGCAAAAAGATAGACCCACATGACCTACAAAACTAAATTAAGAGGAAACACACTACATTAATAAATCTATAATGGGCAGCAACATTGAGGTAATAATAGTCTCTCAACAAAGAAGAGCCTAGGATAGGATGGATTCACTGCTAAAAATTCTACCAAATAGTTAAAAAGAATTGGCATCAGTGCTCCTCAAACTAGACCATAAATGAGAAGGAGTGCTCCCAACTTCATTCTACAAAGCCAATATTGTTTTGATATTAAAAGAATATAGGCCGGGCGGTGGTGGCGCACGCCTTTAATCCCAGCACTCGGGAGGCAGAGCCAGGCGGATCTCTGTGAGTTCGAGGCCAGCCTGGTCTCCAAAGCGAGTTCCAGGAAAGGCGCAAAGCTACACAGAGAAACCCTGTCTTGAAAAACCAAAAAAAAAAAAAAAAAAAAAAAAAGAATATAAAAAGAAAACTGTAGATAAATTTCTCTATTGACCATAGATGTGAAAATTCTCAATAACATACTTGCAAACTGAACTCAACAACATTGGATGGTCAGGCAACATGACCGAGCTGATTTTATTCTAGGAATGCAAGCATATACACAAATTAGTAATTGCAATCCAACACCAAACTTTAGGACAGATATCATATGATCATTTCAATAGATACTGAGAAGATGTTTAACATCCTTTCACGATAAAAGCCTTGGAGAAACTAGGAACAGAAGGAACATACCTCACCATAATAAAGACCACATGTGAAACACCTGTAGCCAATATTGTACTAATTAAGGAAGAACTTGAAGTCTTAGCCACAGCAATAAGGCAGGAAAAGAAATAAAAAGTATATAAACAAGAAAGCAGGAAGTTCAGCTATCCTTATATACACATTATATTATTATGTATTAAATTCACCAGAACACTCAGATCTGATTAAAAAAAAACTTTCAGCAAAGTAATAGAATATAAAGTCAACATGAAAAATTATTAGCTTTTCTACATTGAATAGCAATAACAAACATGCAGTGAAACCATGAGAATGTACCAATCATATCAGTCAAAAAAAAAAAAGAAGATGCAGAAATAGAAGCAGAAGGAGAAGAAGAGGAGGAAGGAGGAGGAGCAGGAGCAGGAGGAGGAGCAGGAGCAGGAGGAGAAGGAGAGATATTCTAAGAAATAAACCGACCAAAAGAGGTGTAAAAATTAAATTTCTACGGAAACTATAAAGCATGGAAGAAATTGAAGAACACAGTAGCAGAAAGAACACCTATGTTCATGGATTGGGGGATTCAATATTGTGAAAGTGGCCATATTACCAAAAGCAAGCTTCAGCTTCAGTACAAGTTTCTGTCAAAAGTCTAAGGTCACGGAAACAGAAAAACAATCCTAAAATTCATATGGGAGCACAAAAGACCCCGAGTGGTCAAGTCATCCTGAGCAGAAACAGCAATGCTGGAGGTGTTGTAGCCCTTGGTTTTAAACTACACTACAGGGCTGCAGTAACAAAAACAGCATGGCACTGGCACAGAAGTAGACACACCAATCAGTGTCATAGAATACAGGACACAGACTCAAACACACTCAGCTGTGGCTGCCTCACTTTTGACAAAAGCTCTCAAAGTACACAGTGGAGAAAAGACAGACAGTCTGTTCATCATCTGTGCCGGGGAACTGATATCCACACATAGAAGAATGAGACTAAACCTTGGTTATTACCCTGTACAAGTATCAATCTGAATGGGCCAAAGACCTTTATGTATGAGCTGAAACTGCTAGAGGGAAAAAAATGAAAAAATACTTCAAGATACAGGATATAGGCAGAGGAAAGGACTTTCTGAATAAGACTGAAATTGCACAGGAAATAATCCAAAGACAAATGGAATTGTGTGAAATTAAAATTCTTCTTTCTGCACAGCCTAGGGAATAACCATCAGAGTCAAGAGACGGCTCACTGAAGGGGAGGAAATCTTGGCCAGCAATACCTACAAGAGAATGATATACAGAGTACATAAAATACTTAAAACATTTAACACCAAACCACTCATCCAACCAATAAATGAGCAGATGAATCAAACAATGAGTTTCCAACACAATAGAATAAATCATCAACAATATAGGAAACGGTGTTTTACCTTGTTTGCCATCAGAGAGATACAAATAAAAACAACAATGAGGTTCCATCTCACTCAGTTCAGAATGGCAACCATCAAGAAAACAAGGACGCAGGGAAAATAAACCCTCATACATTGTTGATGGGAATAGAATGGGAGGGGGGGAGATACTGTAATGTGGTGTCAGATTGCAATCTTTGCATATTTGGGCTTGAATTAGAAGTCCTCCTGGTATACTTGAAAGGACCAAGCAGACACCATAACAGGCTGCTCAGTCTTCTCTCAGAGATCAGGCCTCAATTTCAGTTTCCTGAGACTGGAGCAAGCAGTCTCTGGGAGGGCCGAGAACAAAAGACATAGTCCTTGCAGTAGCTCCTTTTCTGCATGTACTCTGACCGCTCAAGGTTCAGCCAGTTGTTTACTGTCTGGGACCCCTCACCAACTTAGAGCTACATGCATGAGTCAAGGACGGAGCCTGGGCCACTGAGTCAGCCCCCACAGTCAGTATAAGCTAGGCCAGCCAGCCTCCACGGCAGCTCAAGGACAGAGCCTGGGACTTGTCCAGGCCTGCCCCAAAATGATAACTGTAACCCCCAACCAGCAAATCCAAAGGTTACACACCCTCACCCAATGGTATGATGCAAAGGCTTGTACCACCCTGTCTGTGGTTTTTCCCTTTAAAAACCCCTCACCCTGAGAGCTCAGGGCTGTCCTCCTCCACCCACTGTATCGGAGTGTTAGACATGAACCAAGCCCAGACCAATCAATAAACCCCTGTGTGTTTTGCATCAGATATTGGCTCTGTGGTGGTCTTGCTCAGGGGTTTCTCGACGGGGGCAAAACGTACTAATTGCAAAGGAGAACAATATCAAGTATTTGAATTTGGGGTGGTCCTGGGGCCCACAGTTAAAAGCCATGCATAGTCCCTGTCTTAAGCAAGAAGACAGCCTGGTATGTATGTGGGATCCAGCCTGGCCCTGCCCTCCAAAGTGTCTGGATGCCTCAGGCCCCACCCACACCAGCACAGCTGCTCCACCTCAGGAATACCCAATAGCTCCCAGCAAGAACTACGTCCAGACAGGAGAGGAATTCAGAGAGAACTGTGATCAGGTGGGGGTTAGACTGGAGGGTCACAGAGCTGAGGGACACTAGCCTGAGTACCAACAACCCCTCAGCAAAAGGTGACATGTGGGAGCTACACTAGGCTGTATTGATCACATCTTCTCCCACACTGTGGCCACCATGTCCCTATTGGACAGAGAAAGCCCACACCTTGGATAAACTATGGGGGAGGGCTGGAGTGGAGAACAGGGCTGGTGGAGGCTGTGGCTGCTTCTGTCTTCCCTGAGGAAGATGATGGAGGAGCTAGCCACCCTTGCTCCACCCTGTCACTGAGATCCACTTCTCAAGGAGGGCTCTCCCAGTAGTCCACCAGGTCCTGGTGGAGCAGGAGCCCTGTGGTGACAGTCACACTGCCCAAAGCCCTGATGACTCCTCACAGCCTTGTCCCCAGGGGCTTCGCAGACACTCCTGCCAGGGTCCAGCCTCACAGGGAGTGGCTGACCAGGTGAGGACTTCTAGGACCTCACATGGCTCTCCAGGAAAGTCAGACGCCATGCTCCTTGGGCATTGGTCCTCCAGTGTCGCTGAACTTTCCTCATGTCTCTGCTGCCAGCAGAGCTCTTAGAGTCCACACAAGCCTTCCCAGAGAGGCTGAGCCAGAGTAGTGCTGAAGGGCTTTATTTGGAGTCAGGTGGGGGAGGGGAGGCCAAGGCATGAGGGGATGGGGAGGCAGTGGGGAGTTTGGTTCAGCAGAGGTATGGTGCAGGGATGTCTGTCCCAGCCAGGTGCTGGAATCAAGGCTGGCTCAGCAGGTGCAGACCTGGGTAGCTGCTGTGGTAGAGAGAGGAAGACAGATAAGTGCCCCCCCCCACTCCTGTCACCATTTTTCAGGAGCAGCCGTTAAGGGAGTCATGGGCAGGGATAGCCCAGGGCAGATATGGGTCAGAGATCTTCTTTCCCTGTGTTTCTGTGTGGTCCCTGCTAGGAGTTGGGGCCCTCTAAAGTGATCCCTGTACCACTCCCATGAGCAGCCAGGTCTCAGCCTCCTTAGAGAGAATGGGAAGGACAGGACCAGGCAGGGACCAGGGACTAGGAGAGATCACGACAAAAAGAAAGGACTTCCTATATGTCCTGGAAACTACACTCAGGGCCACCTCCCTAATGACCACACTTGTCTGTGTGGATGGGATGAGGACCCTCTAGCCTGGCATTCTAGGCTTTCCCACAGTCCTATGGGTGTGTTTGTGTTGGGGAGACTTATCCTAGTCATTTCCAGGCACACACTGATCTGTAGAAACCAAAAGAATCCCAGGAGTGAGAAAGGCCCAGTAAGAGGACCCCCTCACTCACACCTGCAGCTCAGCCCCTCCCACAGCCAAGACCTGAAGCAGGGCCCTGGCAACCCTGTGACAAAGAGGACGTGGAGAGACAGGAAACAACACCCAAAGGACAATAGGACCAGGCACAGAAAGGACGCAGAAGGCACACAGACATACATGTTTGGGGACTGACAGTTAGCAGTGACACAGGGGACACAGGCGGAGAGAGGCATGGGCCGTCCTGCTCTCACCACTCATCTCTGGTACAAAGATGTTTTCCTCTCTGAGTCCCTTGCGCTGTGTGAATTTCTTAAATTCTGCCATGGCCTCTGGGTTTTCCTTAGGGTCTCTCCCTGTGGGGAGGTGAGGCAGGATTGAGGGGTGGTGCTCAGCTCTGCAGACAGCCAGTGACCCCGGCCAACATCTGGGTTGTCAGCCTGGAACAGCCAGGATAAGAGGGAATAGCACAGTGGACAAGTTGCTCTGGGTTGGGGACTCCCAGACACTGAGTGATTCTGGGGGCCCTCGATGAACCTGAAGAGGATTTCAGGGTCATTCCCCATACCTGTAAGGGCCCTGGATCTCAGATGCACATGTCTGTCCCCTGACCTTGGAGGATACTACATACACATCATGCCCTCTTTCAGGTTAATCGCCTTCAGATTGACTGGCACCTACCGAGATCGCTAGAGATGGCATTTGCCAGCCTCCAACGGTCACATAAGCCAGGTCCCCTCCCATCTGACCCACTTTCCACTTTGGATTCCATACACTGCTTTGTCAGCATCCTGGGCCCAGCACGGATGCTTCCCAGTCCCAAGTGCCAGGCATGGCTGCTGCCCTTCTCATGGCTGCTGGAAGCAGAGACCAGAGACAGGACATGAGATCTCTGTGGTTCCTCACCCACGAGTTTTCCTATGCTGAAATGTTTCCCATGGCGCTGTCCTTCACAGTAGAAGATGTAGTGGTCCTTCACAGGAAGCTCCTCTATGTACACAGTCTTCCTGCCATTGCCTTAAGGTGAACAGAGAAGTAACTCTTAGCATCTCACTCCTGGATTAACTATCGGAGACCGTGTGAAAGAATACTTTGGAACACTTTTCGGGGCACCCTGGAGACTCAACGAGTCCAGCACTGGCCTTGCTGTGGTTCCCCATATCTAGGCAGGATCTATTTCTTAGACACCTGCCGAGTCCAGCTGAGAAGTCCAAAGAGCATAAGGGCTGAACTTGGTCCCAAGCCTGAACACCTCCCACCCCTGCCAATGGCTGTCCCCTTCTCCACTTCACACTCCTTTGCATGGTTCCCCATGGGTCACAAGCTGAGCTATTGTGGGGCAAGAACCAGTTAGTACCTGGGGTGGACCAAGCCAGGGTCTCTACTGTCTGGTACATGGAAAGTGAATGGATGGCCTGTCCCAGAAGCTGGATGCCCAGGAACTATTCTCTGCAGGAGACCCTGGGCCACAAGGGACTCACAGGCGATGTATTTGCCGGCCTCCTCAGTTTTCTTCATCAAGATTTTAAAGTCATGGCAGTGACCCTTTCTCCTGTAAAACAAAAAAACAAAAAACAAAACAACAACAAACCACAGGAAGCTGCTCTCAGCAGCACAGCTGGGCACAGCTGGGCACAGCTGTGCTGGCTAGTTATTGTCAACATGACCCATGTTAGAGTCACCTGGGAAGAGAGAATCTCAACTGAATTGACTGACTCCATCAGATTGGCTTTTGGGTATGTCTATGTGGCATTCTCTTGATTAACTTTTGATACGGGAGGGCCTAGCCCACTGTGGGCAGTGCCACTTTTGGGCAGGTGTTCCTGGGTAAAGAAGGCAGGCTAAGCAAGCCATGGGGAGCAAGCCAGGAAGAAGCTCCTTCAGGATTCATGCCCTCATGGTTTATAATTGACTGTGATGGGGACATACAAGCCAAATAAGCCCCGAAGTTGCCTTAGGCCACAGTGTTTGGTGTTTGTCACAGCCATAAGAGTAAACTCAGATTCCTGGTGCATCCACCATGGTCAGATGATACCTTCCAATCCCATGTCAAACCTCCATAACTCTTGGGCATTGCCAATGACCCTGTCCCCTCAAAGGCACAGGCCTTCTGTCACCCACACCAAAACAATGGATAGAGTAGAACAGGAAGCCAACTTGAGAGATCTGTGGTGAGAGACACTCACCAGAATGTGATCTTGGTCTCCAAGTTCCCTCCTTCCAAGGCTGTTGCCTTCATGGGGAAGGCCTTCATAAGCATCTTATCCCCCGGCAGGCTGTCATTGTGCATATTGGCCTTTGTGTACCAGATTCCTGAGACCTGTACCAGACAGGGTCTTGAGCAACCCTGTCCCGATTCTCCCCCAAGGTCCAGCACACCGGCTTGCTCCCTGAAGAGACATTCCAAAACATAGGCTACAGCCCCTTAGGTAGGGTGACCACATAGTTCTCCAATCTGAGCCCAGTAGAGAGTGCACAGCACACAGGTTCGATGACCCAGCATAGGCAAATGGTGTCTGCCCCCTAAAGACCCAAACCATGGCGGTCTCGAACCTAGCAAAAGGCATTTCCTCTAGCAGTGCCTCCTAGTCTATGAGGCATCTGGTGCTTGGTGTCAATTCAACAAGGACTTCTGGCCTAACTGTGGTCCTTGCTCTAGTCCTGTGCCCCTTGAAGAGCCCCATCTGCTGGGAAAACAGCAGAGTATCTGACCTGACTGCTTCAGACAGGGCTATGTGGCAGAGGAGAGGGTAGAACTCAGCCTTCAAGGCCATTTCCTGAACCATGATTCAGGAACAGCAACCGGAGGCCACGCCTTTCTCTTACCACTACCCATTATCCTTCACTAGCTCACAACTTGGTCATCCGATGGGACTTCCTGGGCCTTCAGGACAGCCACCAGCCCCAGAAGCAAGAAGGTCAGGAGCAAACTCTTCATCTTCAGTCTCTGCGTTCTCACACAAGGCAGGTCACCTGGGGAATGTCTGCTCTGCATCCTTACAGGGTGCCCTTTATATCCCCCATGGCCAGGGATGTGTGCCCACTTGGCACTGGCCACATCCCTCCTGCCCTTCTATCATGGCCAAATCCACATCCATCATGGAAGTGGAAGGTTGTTGTTGGGATCTGATGAATATCAACTCAATGTCACCTACAGATGAAGAAAGACACACAATGCCCTGCAATGTCTGCACCACCAAGAGTTGTGCTCACAAAGGACCCTGGGATGAGTGACTCAGGGGCAGGGAGGTTGCACTTTGGGCAGGGAGGAGGGCCAGGCTTCCCTTCACACCCCTGCCCTCCATCTGTCCATGGCTGCCCTGAGCTGTGTCCCCTGAGACCTGGCTTCTGACCTCCTGCTACTGAGGATGGGGCTGAGCTTCATCACCAGAGAATGTCTGCTTGTTCCCAGATGGCTTGGCCCCTGCCTGGGAGGGAGGCCACTTCACTGTCCTATCCCTGCATGGATACTCCACCTGGACCTTCCTGTAAGTGGAAACACAAACTCCTGACTCTAGTCAGTTTAAACATCATCAGGGTAGACCCCTGCCTCACTAGGCGATACCCTGACCCTGACCCACTTCATTCTGCACTGAGGCCAGCTGTGTGCTCTGCAGGACACTTCTTACTCCAGATGTCTTGGTCCTTTTTCACTAACTGGCCAATGCCCCTCTACTCAATCACCAGTTAGGGTTCAGTTTTCATAGTTCACAATTTTAAGTTGGCCACATGAAGGATTCCAGCCACACATGAATATTTGTCCCCTGAAGGAATCAGTGAAGGGGGGGTCACCTGTGTGAGCTCAAGGGGATTCATCTCCAACAAGGGGGCTTGACCTTCTGCTGCTCTTGTCACCTGAGGACCCGCTGAGAGGACATTTTCAGAGCCAGGGCTGCCCTGGTACAACTGAGGCCCATGTGTGTTCATTTCCTGCCATCTTGTGCCCTGAGGTGGGATGAAGAACCAGGGTCCACCTCAGCCTGTCCTGAGCCCACCCTTGTGCTCCTGTTGAACTTCCTTCCTCTGGAGTCCACAGCTTCCCTTCTCATTAGCTCTGGGCACCCACTTGCTCTCAACAGGGCCAGATCTCATTCCCTTTAGGTCAATAATACAAGAGGCACCATGACTCCATGTGCCAGCCTGTGTTCTGAGTTCATGATGGCTGCCCTGGCTGACCTGTCTTTGGGCCTTAGCCCAGCTTCCTTCCCAGTAGGAACTCTGCCTTCCACTCCCCACTCTGAGGTTCCTGAACTTGGCCACCTGCCCTGAGACCCCAGAAGGTCAGCTCTGGAGAAGGGTTTCAGTTCCTGCGGGGCTGTCCACACTCCATGGCTCTGGAGATGGGTGCTGGTCCCACAATGGCATCTTTGGGCCTGTCTGGACCAAAGGTGGATAGGCTCACGTTTCCACAAACACTCTTAATGAACACTCTCTGACAGGCCCTGGGTTGTGCTGAGGAGTCTTGACCTCACTATAGAAGGTGTTGAGCAGGAGACCTGTCATTCTGGGTGTGAGAGGGCAGGGCTGGTGCTCTTTAGGACCAGAGATTAGGAAGCAGGCTAGCATTTCCATATCATGGGAGAGGCATCTCTGTACCTGTCAGCTTGTCCTTCATTAGCATGAGTCATTCCTGGAAGCACCTTACCACATAGGCACACGTGTCTCAATCCTTGAACAGGAGGAGAACGATATGAACGTGTGATTGACAGAGTCAGGGCGTCTCCAGCCAGCCTCCTCAGTCTGCTGGAGGTCAATGGAGCTCTCCAGGTATCTCCCATTATCCACTTCTCCTGCCTGTCTTAGCAGCTGAATTGTCTCAAGGTCTCCAGTTATGTTCCTTGGTATGACGAAATCAAGACAGCAGCAGATGGCTGCCATTGCAGCTGTGGAATGAATGTGGGCTATAGCTAAAAGGGCTGATGGCTGACCCTTACTGTCCCCTGCATCTGTGGCTGACATTTCTCAACATCCCGAGATATTAGCAGCTTCCCAGTCGTGTGTCTACATTACTCTTTTGTGTTTCTCCGACCCACAGCCTTGAAGAGCAGGTGTGAGTTGATAACCACACTGTCACAGATGGGTCTGAAGTGTCCCCCACAGGTTCGTGTGTGGAAGCCTTATTCCCAGCTGGTGGCCCTATTTTGGGAGACTCTGCAGACCAAGGCCAGGGCTGGTGGAAATTGGTCACTGAGAGCACCTCCTTCAACTAAATCTTATCCAGGCACCTTGTCCTTCTCTGCTTCCTTGACGCCATGAGATGGCCAGCTGTTCCACCTATTCTGCTGTGATGCTCTGACTCACCACAGGCCCTCAGCCATAAGACCAAACAGTCGTGGGCAGAACCCCTGGAACCAGGATCCAGGATAAATCCTTCCTCCTGTCAAGTTGTCCTCTCGAGTGTCTAAGGCGATGATGGAAACCTGGCTAACACACAGTCAGCGGGGATGAGAACTGACAGGATAATGGGTCTGGCCTTTTCCTCCCCCTGAGATAACATGAAATGTCCCACCCTGTGACTCAGAGGGTCCTCAGGTAGGCCAAGTCCCAGCTGCTGACAATGCTAGCTTTCTCAGTAAAATAACTTTTATCAAATGCCCTAACGTGTCACCAGGTCCTAGGCTTCTGGCCTCTGAGCTGATCAAGAATACGTTTGTAGGTTTCTGGTTTTGCTCTGTTAGCAGTGCTGGGATCTACCCCGAGGCCTGGCACAGGCTTTGGTGCACTTTACCACCAAGTTTCATCCTATGTCTGCATTTCTGGATTTTAAGTCATTTAGTTCATAGTACTGTGTTATAACTGTCCTTAAAATAAGATCATCCCTCACAGATCAATAGTTATATTAGATGAAAATGGTCCAAATACACCAAGCACAATACAGTGACTAGCACAAAGGTTTGAAAACCATAATATGGCTGTTGCTGTCTACAAGGAATCTATTTTAAAATCAACGATAGAGGTGAGCTGGAAGTAAAAGTATAGAATTGCAACAGGCTAACTCTGGTCTAAGGAAATGTACAACATGATTTTAATATCAGCTAATGTAAGACCTGGAACAAAGGAAACATAATGGGATAATGAGGGGCAGTGTACAAGGAGAGTTGTGCCATCCCATGGTGAGGAGCTACCATCCCAAAGGTTAATAGAGCTATCAATTGAGCAGAACAATAAGACTTGGAAGGGGGAGAGAAATGGAGAGAGAGATAGGGAGAGAGAGATGGGGAGAGAGAGATGGGGAGAGAAATGGGGAGAGAGAGATGGGGGAGAGAGATGGGGAGAGAGAGATGGGGGAGAGAGATGGGGAGAGAGAGATGGGGGAGAGAGATGGGGAGAGAGAGATGGAGGGAGAGAGATGAGGGGAGGAAGATGGGGAGGAAGATGGGGAGGAAGATGGAGAGAGAGAAATGGGGAGAGAGAGATGGAGAGATGAGAGAGAGAAATGGGGAGAAAGAGAGAAATGGAGAGAGAGAGAGAGAGAGAGAGAGAGAGAGAGAGAGAGAGAGAGAGAGAGAGAGAGATATCTCCACAGTTAGAGCTGGAGATGTCACCCCGCTCCACCAATAACTGAAAACCGGCAGAGACACTGGAGGCCTCAGCCCTGCTATCACCCAGCTCACTCTAACCAACATCTGTGAACCCTCCTCACCCACACAGCACTGCCCATGGTCCTTTCATACAGTCATACAATGTGCAACAAGATAGGACATGTTCCTAGTGATATAGGACCTGGGCACACTGGAAAGAACTGAAGGTACGTGGAAAGTGTCTCCCAAGCACATGGCAAACAAACCAGACCTCAGTGCCAGAAGGAGATGGGAAGTGTTCCTCAACAGACTTCAAAATGCAACAACACAATTCTGAGCAGTTCATGGACCAAAGAGGAAATCTGCGGGGAAGCGAAACCTCGAACTGAGTGATAACGAGAAGGTGTGGGTCTGTAGCTAAGCTATTCGGCAAGCTGAGGCAGGAGCATGGTAGCTTCATGGCCTGTTTAGGTTACTGAACAAATTCGAGGCCAGCCAGGGCAAGTTAGCAAGACTCTGTATTAAGATTCAAAAACTGAGGGCCTGTGGGGATAGGTCAGTGATTAAGAGCATTGGCTGCTCTTCCAGAGACCTGGATTCTAATCCCAGCATTCACAGGACGGCTCACGGCAGTCTGTAGTTCCAGTTCCAAGAGATCTGATGTCCTCTTCTGGCTTCCACACAGACTAAGCAAGCCTGAAGTATACAGACATACATGCAGGCAAAACACCCATACACATAAAAACAAACAAACAAACAAACATTTCAAAAGAAGATTTAAAAAATGAAAAGTACTGGAGATGGTCTTAGTAAGGGTTTCTATTGCTGTGAAGACGCACCATGACCACAGAACTCTTATAAGGGAAAGCATTTAACTAGGGCTGGCTTACAGGTTCAGAGGTTTAGCCCATTGTCAACATAGTCAAACTTACCTTAAGAAGGCCACACCTCCTAATCCCTGTCAAGTAGTGCCACTCCCTGTGAACCTATGGGGGCCTTTTCATTCAAACCACCCCAGAGACATAGTTCAGCAGTAGTGTGCATGGAGCTCTAAGTTCAGTTTGTAGTCTGCCCTAGGAGAGAAAAAAAGAAAAAGAGAATAAAAACCAACTTATAGAGATAAGTGGTGCATGTCTAAGTCACAGTCATGACGGAATACAACAACATAATGTGCACACATTAGAAAAAAGACACTATCTAAAACTCATTGTCTCAGCTTTGCCCAGCAGGAAGTTCCTGGGCTGGTGGATCAGTTAAAGGGACCTCAAAGGAGCCCCCTAGGCTGCGGTGGTGATCCTGGTCCTGGTACCTCTCTCCAAGCCCGAGTTTAACCAAGGAAGAGCGTGATGTGTCTGGGGTCATTCAAGTGAGGGACACATGACTGCTGGCCCCATATGACGTGTGATCCATTGACATG